GTATGGTGTTAGAAAGTGTTCTAGTTTCATTCTTTTACAGGTGGTTGACCAGTTTTCCCAGCACCACTTGTTAAAGAGGTTGTCTTTTTTCCATTGTATATCCTTGCCTCCTTTGTCGAAGATAAGGTGACCATAGGTTCGTGGATTTATCTCTGGGCTTTCTATTCTGTTCCATTGATCTAAAAATATGGAACGCTTCACGAATTTGCGTGTCATCCTTGCGCAGGGGCCATGCTAATCTTCTTCCAATTTTAGTATATGTGCTGCCGAAGCGAGCACGACTGTATCTTTTCTAATTATAGTTTTTGCTGATACATACCCAGCAGTGGGATTGCTGTGTTATATGGTAATTTTATTTTTAGTTTTCTGAGAAACCTCCATTCTGTTCTCCACAGTGACTACACCAATTTACATTGGGAAAGGTTCTTTGATTCTAAAGATTCATATGATTACATTGGGTTCCCCTGAAAAATTCAGGATAATCTCCCCATCTCAAGGTCCTTCACTTTAATCACATCTGCAAAATCCTGTTTGCCTTGTGACATAACATGAAGGTTCCAGGAATAGGGGTTTGGACATCTCTACAGGGAGGCATTACTCAGTCAACCACACAACAATAGCTACCATTTGTCAAGTAGTGGTGATTGTCAGTTTGAGTAAAGCACTTTACAGATGTTACTTCATGTAACCCAACCCTGAGTCCATGAGTCAAGCACTCACTGGACGGATGAGGAAACTGAGGCTGAGAACAGAGATTTAAAAGTCAAGGCCAATTCTTAGGAGTAACACAGATTGGTGAGAACCATGAGCCTTTTTGATGTATTTATTTGTTTGTTTATTTGAAGATAATATCAAAACCTTAACAGAGACCCAGAACTTCCTGGGGAACTGTTTATAACACTGAACTGTTTAATCCGCAGTGTTTGTGAAGGTTAGGGGACAGTCTGTTGAAAGCCATCAAGTTGGGTCGGGCATGGATACCCCATCCATGGAGGCAGGGACCTCGGCCGCCATTTCACCAAGCTTGGCCCATCTTCCATGAAATAAGGTGTGGCTCCATGGACTTAGAAACCCAAACTGCACTTGTGCCCAGTTATGTTTGCTTTGGGTTGAATTTCAGATAAATGATGAAGAATTTTTTAGCATAAGCACAGTCCAAATAGAGCTTCCCAGGTGGTGCTAGTGGTAAAGAACCCACTTGCTAATGCAGCAGACATAAGAGACGGGTTTGATCCCTGGGTCAGGAAGGTCCCCTGGAGGAGGGCATGACAACCCATTCCAGTATTCTTGCCTGGAGAATCCCATGGACAGAGGAGCCTAGTGGGCTACAGTCCATAGGGTCACAAAGAGTCAGACATGACTGAAGCAACTGAGCATGCATGCATGGTCCAAATAATGCATGTTTACATGCTTACTTTGATGCCTGGGTTGGGAAGATCCCTTGAAGAAGGAAATGGCAACCCACTCCAGTATTCTTGCCTGAGAATCCCATGGACAGAGGAGCCTGGCGGGCCACAGTCCATAGGGTCACAAAGAGTCAGACATGACTGAAGCGACTTAACATGCATTTACTTAAACACACAAAAATTTGTTGTCTGAAATTCAAATTTACTCAGGTATCCTGTGTCTTACGTGGCTGCATGGGAGACACATTTCTGGCTGAGGCACCAAACTCGGTGAATCCAAGCCTCATCTTACAGTTTTTAATGACTGCTTTTCAGATATTCTCTTTGGTCTTCAGCAGTTTCACCAGGTTCATGTCCAGGTGTAGTTTTCATTTGTACCACTTGGGATTTATGACTCTTCTTCAATCTGTGGCTTTCTGTCTTTCATCATTTTTGGACAGTTCTTGGCTATTCTCTCTTTAAATGTTACTTCTTGCCCCTGTTCCCTCTCTCTTGAATTGTATACATTTCTCTTAAATTCTTTTTGTATTTTTAATTTTTTTTCTCTTCTTGCTTCAGTCTGGATATATTTTTCTAATCTGCCTTCACTGTTACTTACTTTCTTCATGGTTACTTACTTACTTTCTTCACTTTGTGTAATCTGTAGTTAAACTTAATTTTAGTTAAAAATCAGTGCCTTAATTTTAGTTACCATATTTTAAAGTTCTATAATGTCCATTTATTGCTTCCAGGGTGCCAGTGAGAATATCCATCTTGTCATTTAATCTCTGGAACACATGACTTTAGTGTTTCAAAGCTCTTAAGAGCCTGACAACAACCATATCAGAATCTCCCATACAAATTGATTCTATTGTCAAGTTTTTTCTTTTGGTCCAACCTTGGCATTTTTCAAACCTGGTAATTTTTTACTGAATGTTGGACATTGTGAAGAAAAATACTGAGAAACCTTTGCCGTCCTTCTCAGAAAGGTGGCGCCCTTTGCTCTCAGTTGTGGACAGGACAGCCTGTGTCCCCGTCACACACGGTATCACCATCTCTACCACAGACACCTTCTCTTTTTATCTCTGCAGAGCAAACCTTCTGACCAGTGTGGAGTTTGAAACTTCACCTTTCTCTGACCCCGTGAGGTAGAGCCTTACTTCTTGCACTTATTGGCCATTTATATTTACTCAGAGGACTGTTTTCTGTGTAAACCTTCACTTGGGTCGTGAATATTGAATATCACTGAGCAGAACTGATGGTGGAAAAGGAAAACACAGCTGTGCATGAGTTTGTGACCCCAGTGACCTGATCAATGAAAACAGCCCCAAACCATCAGCAGACTCATTCGTAAAGACTCCAGTATCAGTTTCCCAACTGGAGCCACTTCCTCCTCAAGCCATTTGGGCTGAACAACTACTGACCACAGGGGTCGTGCCCACTGAGAGTGGGTGAAGTTCTCTGGAACAGACACAGTCATGAAGGGAGAGGCAGGGTCAGAGTTCACAGTGCTGTGGAGGAGAGAGCTGCCTGGGCTTAGAATGGACATAGACTCGTATCCACTGCTCTTCCCATTTCAGTGGCCATCCTCACAAGGGGCAAAGGAAACTGTCACTTGCTTTTGCATCTGTGACCCTGGCTGCATCCTGTGCCAAGCAGCCCTCCTGGATTCCACTGTCTCAGAAACCCCATCCATCTTGACTGTGTGTCTGTGTATGTGTGTGTGTGTGTGTGTGTGTGTGTGTGCGTGCATGCGCGCGCACGTGCGTGCCCATCAGGCTCCTCTGTCCATGGAATTCTCCAGGCAAGAATACTGGAGTGGGTTGCCGTTTCCTCCTCCAGGGGATCTTCCTGACCCAGGGATTGAACCCGGGTCTGCTGCATTGCTGGCAGATTCTTTACCATCTGAGCCACTGGGGAAGCCCATTCCTTCTCGGTTGCGTTCCTGCACAGGGCTTATGGGAAGCCCCTCCAGCAGTAGAGAAGAGTTTGTGTCTAGGCTTACTTTAGGTGTTTACTTTCTAAATAACTCCCCTGGCATATGCCAGAGCAGCCAGACCCAGGCATTTAGCTAGTCATTTTTAAAGTCAGGGGTGGGCCAAGCCTGCTTCATTTAGGAGGGAGAATGAGGCCTCCATGTTCTCCTCAGTCCCCCACCAGGGCTCCCTGGGCTCCCTTGTGGTCACACTGGCAGCAGCTCCCAGGCAGGTCTGGGCGGCCCACGAGGCCGGCTTCCAGGAGGGATTTTCGCAGTAATGACCCCCCAGGTGGCCCTCACATGTCCATCCTGTCAGTGAGTAATCGGGAGTTCCTGCTTGGGGATTGGACTTTTTGACGACAAGAACTGGAAGACCAGCTTCCCACCAGTTCTCAAAGGGCTTTTATGGCCGAGACCCCAGATCCAGGGCTTTTCTCAAGGGCTTTATGTGGCAATTAATGGCTTCAAGCAAACCCCCAAACCCCCAAACCTGACCCAGTGCCAGAGTGTTCACCGCTGGTGAGGCTCCAGGAGCCGCATTTGTTCTCTGAAGTTGCTCTGAACAAGGAGTGTTCTACAGCCATAAATAACTGCTTTTCTTGGGGCGGGGGTAGGGACAGGTGAACCACAGCTAGATATTTTTTTAAAGAAGAGAAACAGTAAACTTACTATGCCTCAAGAAATTTCCATGGATATCCCATTTATTCCTTGCAGGAAATACCCTGTAATTTTCCTGACTTTCATGCCAGTTTTCCTTATTTTTTACTTTAATGAATGAGGCTTGCAGCCATCCTACGCTAGCTCCATCTCTTTAACATTTTTTCCATATTGTTATTTGGAGGCTACCTTTCCCCACAGGTTCCTTTCCACCCACACGTGGTCATTGGAAACAAGCCGTCCAGGTGGTCCCAGGGAGCAGGGGTGTCCTTTAGCCCCTGTGGCCAAGCCCCGTAGAGCAGCACAGATGCCCGAGGGAGGGGGTGGGGTGGAGGATGTGGAGGAGGTTCTGTGTCCCCCTTCCTCACTCCACACAAGCGAGGGGTTTCAGGAGGGCCTGGAGTGTGCAGGGGAGACAGTGATTGAAGGAGGGAGGCCTGATGAACCTGAACATGGCTGCCCACCTCAGCCTGCCCTGTACCTGGCCCAGGTGTGCTTTGCTACACCCCCAAAGTGCTTCTCCTTCCCGCCCATGGAGACCCTCCTCAGAGACCAGATGACCCAGCAGAGACTCCTCACTGCCCTCAGTGCTGCTGACTGTTGTCTATGCATGGCGCCCAGCCCTTTGGGGCTCTTGTGACTGTAAACTGTTCATCAGAATCCCCAGCACCCACCCCACAACCGGGAGCCTGGGTCTCCCACTTGATCCCCTGCCCCCCAAATACTGGCGGCCTGAACCCTGCCAGGCTGCAGGTTCTGAGCCCAATGGGAAGGCAGTGGCCCTGCCAGCAGGTCCCTGTCTTTGCCAACTTGAGGTCTCAGAGCGGATATGGCTGATAGTGGACACACGGACCAGATAGGGGGACTAGAGAATTCCAACACGTGGGAAGAGTCACGAGAATGAGAGACAACAGAAAATAAGACAGTGAGGTGGGGCTGACTTTGGCCTGAGCGGCCAGGTTTGTCCAAGGCTAAGCCTGGCCTGGTAGACAGGAGGAGAAGGTGCTGCATAAACAAACATGAAGGAACCAAGAGCAACGGTCAGGACATGGAGCCTCCACCCTTTGGCTGGAGACCAGCCTTCTCCTCCTGCACCTGCCAGGTGCTCCTCACAGAGAGCAGGATGCCGTAACCCCAAGCAAAGGGAAGGCTGGTGTTCTCAGGAAAGGGCACTTACCCCCTGGAGAGTGGGCCTTAGACCACACTGAGCCCAGTGGTCCCACCCAGAGGGACTAGGGTGGGGCTGGCGGGGCTGATGGCAGGTGGAGGGGTCCCTGAGGCCCCACTTGCCTCCCCCAAGATCCCCAGACCTGTGCCCAACAGGGATAAGATGCCTAGGACAAGGTGCTAGCCACCCCCAGGGGCTTCAGTGCTTCTGGAAGGGACCTCCCAATACCACAGGTGACCCTACAGTGGCAGGGGAAGCCTGCCCAGTCCCATCCTGGGGGACCCCAGTGGACCTCGGTGGTCCTGTCTTGGAGACGCCCAGCCCTGCACCTGCCCACCTCTTCCTGTCCTGCTCCGTCTTCACCCAGTAAGGTCTCCCGGACTCCAACTCTACCAGCACCTTGATCTTGGACTTCCCAGCCTCCAGAGATGGAAAGTAGATGTTGTTTATAAGCCTTCCAGTTAATGTCACTTTTTGTTACACCAGCCTGAACAGACTGAAACAGCTGTGTAACAAGTTACCCCAAAACTTAATGACAACCTTAGTAAAGCAGTGCTTGTCCTGAGAGGTAGAGGGGTCCAGGCGAGAGCTGCTTTTCTGACCACTTCCTCCCCCCCGCCACACACACCCCTGGAGCGCCATACATCACCTCCACTACATACCATCAGTGGGCTCAGTCACAAAGCCTGCCATCCTCACGGACAGGGAGCCTTACTCCTCCTCTGTATGGGCTTCCAGAAGAGCCTGCTATGTTCACTGTCACCCTGATCCGCCTTGGGAAGACAAACGGTGCCTGCACCCCAGCCTGGACTTCTCGAGGGACCATCACGGGGCACCCAGACAGCTGCAGGCTGAGCAGGTTATGAGTGGAGGAAGGTCCCTCAGCCACATGAGTACCATCCTCGGTCTCGAATGCCTTGGAGAGAGGACCTAGGTCTCTGTTATCATGTGGACGATGTGTGACAGCGTGCTGGAGACTGAGCCCCATGCCGGCTGCTCCCTTTTCACACTCGCTCTCCTGCATTGCTCTGTCTGCATCTGTTTGCGTCACTGTTGGAAGCTGCTGCTGAATTAGGCTTCTAATGATGTAGCAGTATCTTGTTTTATTTGATTCTCCATGTCTGGGAGCTTTGTCTTCTAGGGGGTGTCATCTTATTTGTCTACAATCATCCAAGAAGATAAAGGAGAGGGAAGGAAAGGGAGGAGGAGGGGGAGGGCAATTTGATTGTTATGATTTTGCTGGGAGGGAGGTGGTTTGTGGAGTCCTGTATCACTGTGTTAGGTTTACAAATAAAGACCCCAGAGGCCAGGGGTGTGAAAACACAGGAAGCGGACTCTTTGTCTGCAGGATGTTTTCTTTTTTTTCTCAGGAAAATTAAATTCCAAAAATATTTGCACTGACTTAAAAAAATGTTTCTCTTCACTACTCTCATTTTTAGCTACATTCCTCATGTGTATGTCCAAAAATTTAAATAGGATCAGAAGATATTCGCTAAAGATGAAGCCAAGCTTAGAGAAACAGCCGGTAAACGGAAAGAACACCATATATGTGACAGAGTGGAGAGGAAACTCCTTCCCGCATTTAGATGGCATGGAAGGCAGCCCCTCAGAGCCCCTCCTGGTCGTCAGGCTCCCCTAGGGTGGGGATGGAGGGACCCTATGGGGTCACGTCTCTGGGGCACAGGTCCGGCCAGCTTGAGGGAGGCCCAGATGGTGGAATGTTCCAGAAGGAACCAGCAGTTCTGCAAGTTTCAGTCCTGACCCCTGCCGGTGCAGATGTGCAGGCAGGGTGTCAACTGGCAGAGCCTCTAAATCCTGCCAGAGCTCGGGGAGGGGCTGAAGGCGAGGGCTTCGGGATCCAGTGACTGGAGCGCATTGTGAGCCAGGCAGCCCCAGGCCCTGCCCCAGAGCCCCGACCCAGAGCCCGGTTCCATCCAGTCGTCCCGGCATCCGCTGGACCGTAAGGGACCCGGACCCGCCGCCCCTTCAGGGACCCACCACCCCTCCCACCGCTGCCGCGACACCTGCTGTCACTGCATCCCCGTCCCCCGCAGGAGACCCCGCGAGGGCACCACCTGTCCCTTCCTCCCCGGCTCAGCGTGGGGGTCTGTGCACTCACAGAGCAGCTCCGGGGGCAGCTTAGACGGGGGAGGGGGACAGTGGGGGGGTGGGGGCAGTGAAAGCCGGGGTGCTGGGCCAGGACTCCCACTCTGAGTCGGGGAGATGCACAGCCCTGCCCTCTGTCCACCCCCATCCCGCACCACCCCTCCCCCACCGCAGCTCTTCGGGACACGACCCATCCCTGCCGCACCCCCTTCCCCGCCGCCCCCTCGGTCCACTCGAAGCAATATTACCTCCCTCCTAGGTCACATTGTCCAGCTAGATGCACGTGGGTGTTTCTCTTTCTTCCTGTCCTAAAGGCCAACACCGAACAAAAAGTCCTCCTGTGACCCACTTTCCTCCGGTCACTGCTCTCCATCCTCTTCCAAGAACTTCTCAGCGAGCCGTCTACACTCGCTTGTCTCCAGTACCTCTGCCATTCTCTTTCCAGGGCTGTGCGGCTCTCAACCCCACGCTCCATCCCGCAGCTCCGGCTCCGGACAGGGAGTTGCTGCCCTCCAGCCACTGACCCCTCCACCTCCGACACCACCTCCCGGGCAGCCCTCTGCTTGCACTGGACTGTGAGAATCATGCGACTCCCAGCGCCTTCCTTACGGTCTCACCTGGGCCTCCTGCCCAGCCTCTGCCGCTGGACACCCTCACCTCCCCCTGCTTAAATGTCCTGACCCCGGAGCCCATGTCTCTCACCAGTGTCTGTCCTGCTTGTCCCCTGCCCCCAACACAGAGACAGAGCCAAAGCCCCACCCCACCCCACCGGTGGAGGGAGGCTGCTCCCTCCTTCCAGCCTGACCCCCTGCCCTGCCCTCTGCCCTTCCTGATCTCAGGGCCCTGGGGGCCATCCCTCCCTCTCACCATTTCAGAGACCCCTCCTCACCCCACACTTATTTAAATTGCGGCTTCCCTAGGGACCTCTTCCTGTCCTCTTTTCCTGCTCCATTTTCCTCCTTATTATGGGTATTTTATTTAACTGTCCTGTTTCCCCTCTGCATTAAACTGTAACAGAATGTCCACACCATAAAAACAGAGCAGGCACTGTCTGTTTTGTCCACCCAGGGCCCAAATGAGGGCTGGACACAAGGCCTCCCTTAGCCGGCGAATGAACAGCCCAGAACATCAGCCTCTCCTGCAGCATTGAGGGCCTCCCCCGCCCAGCCAGGGGAATGAGCTGTAGGGTCCCACACATGGGAGAGTACCACGGGGCTCAGGGTGGACCCACTGAAGAGCTGACCTGCTGAGTTACACAGCACCAGCCACAGTGAGGGCTGTGAGGTGGGTCCCTCTCAGGGACCAGGACAGGACTGCTGAACACCACCAACAGCCAACAACCACTTCCAAAGAGAAAAGCTCCAAAGACACAGGAGGCCCTTGGGGTTTTGCAAGGCTGACCCTCCTCCTAACCAGGACATAGTCGTCATACAGGAAGTGAGCCATACATGCCACTGACCCAGGGTGAGGGGCTGGGTCCATGGCCCCCCAGCACCAGCTGTGTGGCTGGCAAGTTGCTTCAACTCTCTGCACTTCAGTCTGCTCATCTGTAAAATGGGGATAATAATGATGCTTTTTCTCATGATTGAGAACATTAAATATATTAAATGCATACAGACATCTATAGTTTAGAACTGTGCCTGGCACTTAGTAAATACTATAGGAATGTTTGCTATTAAAATCGTCAAGCATATGAAATATGCCAAAAAACTAATTAACAATAGGTTCCTGCATTTTTTATTGTAAGAGGCAGATCATAGTTCTGTATCTGGTCATTTCTTTTTAATTTGTAAGACAAAATGAACTCCTATGTGAATTTTTGCACATTTTCACAATTTGGTTTAATTTTTAAAGTTCTAGCCAAGCCCCTTTTTTCACTATTGCCTGTGAAATGTGCTCAGTGGATCAGAAGTGACTTTATCCAGATCCAAAGAGACTGACAGGCACAGGGTGCTCACTGGAGAGAGTGAGGCCTGAGCTAGGGGAGTGCAGAGGCCTGGTTACCAGTTGGCCTCCAGTGAGCGCTGAAGGTAGGCTCCAGGGGGTCCATCACCATCTCATCCATGAATTCACCCAACTGTTTGCAAGCATCTGCCAGGGCTCCGAATCCATCTGGACTTGAGGGAGGGTAAAAGGAGGGTCTGGACAAGATAGAAAACAAGCAGGGTCTTCCCAGGTGGTGCTAGTGGTAAAGAATCCTCCTGGGGAGAAATGTAGGTTCCATCCTTGGGTCAGGAAGATCCCCTGGAGGAGGGCATGGCAACCCACTCCAGTATTCTTGCCTTGAGAACTGCATGGACAGAGGAGCCTGGTGGGCTATAGTCCATGGCGTTGAATGGAGTTGGACACGATTGAAGCGATTTAACATTTAGCAGAAGGAGGGGTCTGGATGAGATGGAGAACAAGCAGGGGCTGTTCTCACCCCCACCTGCATCAACCTTGGAGACCCCTCAGGAGAGGGAGGAGACACACAACTGGAAAGCCCTGGGGAGACCCGAGGCTGGTGGGAACCCTGGGGGTGGTGATGGGGGTGCTGGGGGGAGGGGACAGCCTCCAGGGCAGAGGAGAGTTGGGTGGTTCTGTTTCTGTCTCTGCCCCGCTCATCTGAGACAGAGACTAGCAGCTCAGGCAGCAGCCTTGAATTGGGGAGGGTTTGATTGGGGCGGCCCCATCCTGCCAGGTGAGGAGCTGTAGAAGCTGGCACCTCCAGATCAAACTTTTCTCCCACACCCCTTCCTCACCTCCTTCCTACTCTGAGACTCGAAAAGCCGGCCTCCTCCCAGGACCCCTGGCATCTATCAGTTTAATTAAAATTCTAGTGGAGCAACAGCAAAGAAGGGAGGTGGGCAGGAATTCTGTGGTCTTGGGGCTTGTCCGTTTCTTAAAGCCCCTCCGGGAGGGACGCCAACACTCAGATCCAACCTGGGCTTCACCTTGTCCCCCATTATCTGTCCCCAGACAGGGTGACAACACCCTGGGGAAGCAGGAGCCCACAGGTACAGCAGCTCACATAGAGACTACACCTTGAACCACAGTCACCCTAGGAAGCAGCATTTTCAGGCAGATCGAGAATTTAAAATAAGTATAATAAATATTCTCAGGCAAAGGAGGGTATTAATAATAAAAAACAGAAACAAGGAGTCATAAAAAGAACCAAAGGGTGGAAACTACAACTATGAAAAGAAGGGTAATGATAGGTGGGACCTGCACATGGATGGTTTTGGCAGGGCTGTGTGCTGAAGGGAGGGGTTGGCCTGGGGGTGGGGGAGCCTGGGACTCTCAGCCCCTGTTAGAAGCCAAGGCCTGGATGTGCACACAGAACAGGAATGAATCATGGTCATGGTGCTGAGTGGAAATAAGAAACAAACAAGGCCAAGACAGTCATATTAATCATGTAAATTTAAAACACAGCGCTGTGTGTCAACAGATGAATGGATAACCAAGCCATGGTTTCAAAACACCGTGCTACTGTGTGCTAAGTCGCTTATTTGTGTCTGAATCTGCGACCCTATGGACTATAGCCTTCCAGACTCCTCTGTCCATGGGATTCTCCAGGCAAGAATACTGGAGTGGGTTGCCATTTCCTTTTCAAGGGGATCTCCCCAACCCAGGGGTCGAACCTGTATCTCCTATGTCTCCTGCATTGCAGGTGGATTCTTTACCACTGAGCCCCCTGGGAAGCCCTCACTGCACTACTCCTCAGCCCTAAAAATGAGGGAAACTCTGGTACCTGCTATGATGTGCATGAACTTAATACATTGTGCTCAGTAAAATAAGCCGGTCACAAAAGAGCAACGACTGTGCAGTTCCACTTAGGTGAGGTCCCTGGTGGTGGTATAGTCACTCAGTCATGACCGGCTCTTTTTCAACCCCATGGACTATAGCCCTTTAGGCTCTTCTGTCCATTGGATTTTCCAGGCAAGAATACTGGAGTTGCCATTTTCTCCTCCAGGGGATCTTCCTGACCCACAGATCAAACCCAGGTCTCCTACACTGCAGGTGGATTCTTTACCATCTGAGCCACAAGGGAAGCCCTAGGTGAGGTCCCTATAGCAAAGTCCTAAGGACAGAAAATAGATGGTGGGTGCTGGGAGCTGGAGAGGGAGAGAATGGGGAGTGAGTGTTAATGGGTGCAGAGTGTCATTTGGGGAAGATAGAGTTCTGTGGATGGATGGTGGTGATGGCTACACGTGCAACCACTTAAGTGAATGTACTTAACACCTCTGAACTGTACACTTAAAAGGAGTTAAAATGGTGGGGCTTTCCTGGTGGTCCAGTGGCTGAGACTCCATGCTTCCAGTGTAGGGGGCATGGGTTCAATCCCTGGTCAGGGAGTTAGATCCCACAGGCCACAATTAAAGATCCTGCTTGCCACAACTCAGACCTGGCACAGCCAAATAAATTTTTTTTTAAGTAGTTGAAACAGTAAATTTTATGTTAGGTATATTTTACCACAATAAAAAAGTAAAATCTAAAAAAAATTTAATGAAGATAATAAAAAACAGCACTGTGTGTTATATACATGGACACATACCAATAAAAGGACTCACATTCAGCCTGCTAGGAGGGTGAGGACATAAAAAGGAATAAACAGGCAAATAAGCCAAAGGGCTGCAATGCGGGGCAGACACTGACCTCTGCCCTGTCCAGAGAGGACACCCACATCCTCCCCAGGGAGGGAGAGGGTGACTGACTGGGGAGACTGGATTATCCCAGGAGCAGCTTTGCCAAAGGCAGGGGCTGCCTTGTGCTCACAGAGCCAACAGCCCTTCCAACCCCCAGCCCCACCAACACCTTTGGTGCTGTCCACAGTTCCCTTCTCCTCTGCTCTGAGGCTCTCGAAGTCTTTCCTTGCCTTGCTGGCTGCCTGGGGCCACCCATCCCCCCACACCCATGGTCAGTATACACTCCTGCCTGCTGGTGGGGGATTCGCAGTAGGTGTTCAGTGCATTTCTGTTGGGTAACAGTGAATGAATGATGGGGTGACTGAAAGGAGAGGCATTTTTAAAGGGAGACCCAGTGGCTGGAGGATCACATAGAGGAAATGATCAGAACCCCAGAGGCCCTGGGCTAGCCTCAGCCCAGGGCCTGCCCAGGTTGTATCCAGGCCTCTGCTATTTGTGCCCAGGCCTGCTGGAGGCCCTGCCCAGCGCAGTGCCCCCTTCCAAGGTTCAGGAAGAGCTCCTTCTGGCCCTTTGGGTTTTTGTAGAAGGAAGCAGGGGTTGGCCTCCCACCAGAAGAGCTGATTCCCCTGATGTGAGAAGGCCATTCTGATGCTGGACAGCCTAAAATAAAAATGCCCAGCACCATCTCAGTGACCCTGGATGTTTCTTAACCCTCTTTGCTGAAGACAAATGACTACTAACCAGTGTCATGCTGTTCAGATTCTTTCCATGTTTCTTTCTGGTTTCCAGCTGTCAGAACTGTGCTGTGCACAGAGAAAACCTTCTGCCAATACCTTACACAGCCTCATGTCTTTTTCTCAGGGTATAAAACTATATTTATTCTGTGAAACCTTGGACTAAGTCTTCACACAAACATTGGCTCTAACCAATGAAAAGTGACTTCACCAAGAACTGATGGGCAGGCCCCAGTCTGCCTACAGATCTGTCATAATGGGACACTGCTCAGCACTTCATCCTTCACAATAAATGGCCAGGTGTGCAAATAGCCTCAGAGAGTTGTCCGGAGGTCAAGGTCAGCTGTGGTTTGGGCAGGGTGGGCAATGACTGGCTGGGAGGTGTCTGGGGCTGTGGGTCTACGGTTGGGCAACTCCACAATCGATGCCCTGGATGATGAAATGGGGAGTTTGGCAGCAGCCCTTGGTCCTGAGCTGGAATTTCACGTGCAGGTGACCCCAAGAGCCACCGTCAGGGGGGGAGGAGGCGGGGCTCCAGGAGGTCTCTGTGGGAGAGCGGTAGGGATGATGGAAAATAGAGGTGGGGGGTGGGGGAGGGTGGTTGTAAGGCTTGAGATGATCTGTCACTCCTGGACTGATTGATCCAGACTCAGTCAAGATAACCAGGCTCGTGGAGATCAGGCAACTGCAAGGTGGGAGCAATGGAGAGAACACTCCAAAAAACAGGCTGGCTTGTCATCTCCGGGAAGCCGGTCCTGCTTGGTGTCCCGAAAGGCCCAGGTGTGAGCTGGAGGGCTTTCAAGCAAGTCTGGGATTCTTTCCACAAGTTAGAGGTTCTCCATTTGCGAGCACCTGCCCCCGGCTGTGCACCCGGCTGGAGTCTGCAAGGACACCCCCTGGGACAGCGCGCGAGTCCAGGACGACAACCCAGCCAGGGTTGCGGGGCGCAGCTGCCCACGCGAGGGGCTGCCGGCCAGCCAGGAGCCGCCTCCCAGGCCCAGCTGCAGGGCTGGGTTTCCTGCAGAGCGCAATTCTGGAGCCCGGCCGCCAAGCCCGTGACGCGTGTTTATGGTTCTCACTGCCCCCGGGGACAGCTGCAGGCCTCTCCGCCCGGCCAGGGCCTGGTTGAGGGCTGCTGGAGCTGGAAACCCTGGCAGCTGCTAATCCCCTAAAGCCTCCCGGCTTTGAGCAATCAGAGCTGTTTGTTCTTCTCAGTAAACAGCTGTTTTCCAAGTGACTGCCCAGATCGTGTTAAATATTAACAAAGCTGCCTCCACAACCCCTCGCTGGGCGTCTGCTTTAAATATTTAAGTAATTGCCTTTCGGTCCCCGAGTGACTTTGGCTCAAATTGCTCTGTCACCGCACTTGCCTCCGGGTTTATGGAGCATCGGGAAGTGCCAGCGCTCCTGTTCTCTCTCCTCTTCTGTCTGTCCCCTCTGGACATCACTCAGGCCCTGGGTCAGATGTGAATGGCCAGGGTGCGCCCCGCCTCCCTCTCACATGTGTGTCTGTGCATGTGTGCACGCTCATGTGTGCGTGCGCGCGCGCGCGCATTCTTGTGTGCGTCTGTTTATGCGCGCACATGTGCTCAGGTGCGCGCTTCTGTGATCTGTCCTCTCAGGGGCCGGGCATCTCCTTCCTAGTTCATTGTGACCTCCAAGCCGTACTCTTGTTTGCTCTTCATCCACGTCAGGGTTCATCTGAGACCTGTGACTCCTCTACTGAAGGCTCACTGCGAAGATCAGGAAAAAGAATTAGGAGCTCAGACAGCAGCCTCGGCACCGCTGCCGGCAGAAAGGGTGCATGGGGGTGCCCTCGGAGGGCACAGAGCTCAGGGCTCCTGAGAGCTCGGGCTATGCTGTAGTTTCTGTGTCCTAATGGCCTCTGGTCATAACCACATGCCTTTGGAACGTCCTCCCCGAAACCACAGATTTACTTGGATTCAGCTGTGGATCTGGCTCCAAACAGGCACTATGAGGGAACCACGAGGCAATGAGCTTCTCTAGCTTCCTCCTCCTTTGGCTGAAGGTTGGGGATGAAACCACTGAAGGTCTCTATAGAAAACGTGGGAAATTCTGGCCCCTAGCTGGGGTCTTCTATCCCCGCAGAAGCAGACGGAACTCTCCGTGGATAATAAACTGGTATCCTTCTCCAACGTGGGCTGGACATTTCTCACCTAGTTTTGTGAGATCCTGTGACAGTTGTGCCCATCCAACAAGCTACTGAGATCTTCTCAGAGCTAAACCAATTGAAAGCCACTTTATCTCAAGAGCTACTATTAAGCTCTCAGAGTAAAATGAACTTCAATTCACTTTAATTTTCAAAAGAAGTGATCTTTAAAAATAGATATCTTTTTCAGTTCAGTTCAGTTCAGTCACTCAGTCATGTCCGACTCTTTGCGACCCCATGAACTGCAGCACGCCAGGCCTCCCTGTCCATCACCAACTCCTGGAGTCTACTCAAACCCATGTCCATTGAGTCGATGATGCCATCCAACCATCTCATCCTCTGTCGTCCCCTTCTCCTCCTGCCCTCAATCTTTCCCAGCATCAGGATCTTTTCCAATGAGTCAACTCTTCAAATTAGGTGGCCAAAGTATTGGAGTTTCAGCTTTAGCATCAGTCCTTCCAGTAAACACCCAGGACTGATCTCCTTTAGGATGGACTGGTAGGATCTCCTTGCAGTCCAAGGGACTCTTAAGAGTCTTCTCTAACACCACAGTTCAAAAGCATCAATTCTTTGGCGCTCAGCTTTCTTTATAGTCAAACTCTGGACATGACGACTGGAAAACCATAGACTTGACTAGACGGACCTTTGTTGGCAAAGTAATGTCTCTGCTTTTTAATATGCTGTCTAGGTTGGTCATAACTTTCCTTCCAAGGAGTAAGCGTCTTTTAATTTCATTGCTGCAATCACCATCTGCAGTGATTTTGGAGCCCAGAAAAACAAAGTCAGCCACTGTTTTCACTGTTTCCCCATCTATCTGCCATGATATCTTTTTAAAAAACTTTTTTTAAACAGGGAGAATGGGGTCACAGTTACAAAATTGCAATTCCGCCATGGCCCAGGTGTGGCATCACCTGTCCTATGTCTGCTCCTGGTGGGCGGAGCCAGTTGTAGGCACAGCCTGCAGCACATGAGCCTGTGTGGGAGTCACGGGCCCCAACCATGCAGGCATCTCTGCTTCTCACGCCCCTCCTTCCTAAATGGAGAAAATATAATACCTGTCTCTTAATGTTCGGAAATTCACAGCAGATCTGTGAAGTGTGGTGCCTGGACACGGTGAACCAGCAACGTAAGTGCTGGAGCCACAGCCATGACCCCAAGCTGGAAAGAAGCATTGTGTGAGTGGAGCTGGAAGTGTCCAGGGTGCACATGGGGGTCACGGGCAGACGATGAGCTGACTGCTGTGGTCCAGGCCGGCCTGGAGGCAGGGGGCGTTAGCAGCCAAAAATTTTGAATAAAAGAAAAACACGAAATGATTCTGTAAGCTGGAAAGCAGGTAGATGGGTATGAACGGAGACGAAAGGACAGAAGAGTCCAGCCCAGGACATCGCCAGAGGGAGGCTGCAGGCTGCTAGTACCTACCTCCCCCAACCAGAGGGCCACAGTCTTCGAGTTGGCAGGTCAGGAGGTGGGGGAGGGGAAGGCTGAAAAGTGCAGGACTCATTGGAAATCTGCTTATGAAGTAGCTCAGTCTAGCCATTTCCCACCCCAAGGCACAGAACAATGACAACCTCAGGCCACAAAATGGGCTCTTATTTAGAGACATTGAACAAACTTTCCAATGTGCAAGAATTAACTCTAAAGCTATGCTTCTCAAAATATGTTCCCTACCAGCAGCATCAACATCACCTGGGAACTTGTTAGAAATGCAGGTTCCCAGGTCCACCCCATAAAGCTCTCAGCCTTGGGGCCACTGGTTTGTATTTTAACCAGCCTGCCCCCCCTCCCCCCCTCCCCCAGGAGATGAAGGCCACACACTGTAGGCTGAGGATCCCTGATCTAGAACAGAGCTCCTCATCCATGGCTGCATATTGGAATCACTTTAGAAAATGCTGATGCCTGGGGCCCCACCCCCTAAAAAGAGTCCGACTTCATGGGTTCTGCACATCGCCCAGACATCAGGATTTTTAAGACATCCACCAGCCAGGACAGAGAACCACTTCAATAAGGCCTTCCTATTTCGCACGCATCAGCCGTCAGCCCAATTGCTTAGGCCTGAAGCTTCTCTGCCAGAAGCCCTGTCCACTTAGATCTCACTGTCACCCTCCTCAGCTAAAGGAGAGGACCTGTGGAGTCCAGACTGACCGCAGCCACAGGGGAACCACGTACCAAGCACCCAGGACCACTGGTCTAGAGCTCCGCTCTCAAACATAAAAGGAGGTATAATGGTCCCAGGCACATAAGAGAGACCCAACATGTGAATGAGAAATAGGAAGATAAGCAAGCAAGCCAGCCCTATAGGAAAAGAAACAACGCAGGGATCACAAGATAATTCCTAAAAATTCTCATATCCTCAAAGGGATATGAGAAGTTATTAAATCTGTGAAACAAAAACCAATGCTATGAAAAGGAAATAATTACATAATCAAGAAGAAATTTTAAAAATTAAAAATGCAATCTTTTAAATAAAACTTTCAATAAAAGAAAAACTGGGACGCTTCCCAGAAAATAGGATAGAAATGAGAAAAAAAACTGAAAACATGAGAGAGATGGGGAAAAAAAGACAAATAGCAATTCAAACCAGGATGTCCAACGTTTGCCTATTACAGTCCCGGAACAAGCAGAGATCAGGGAGGGGAAAGAAGCAATCTCAGATGGACTGAAGGGTATCTTCTCTGAGGTAAGAGCTGTAAGTCATCAGACTGAGAGACCTACAAGTGTCACTCGGGGTGGATAATGAAATGTCCACACAGCCACATGAATCTGAGAACATGAAGGATGAAAGGCAGGCGCTGAAAGCATTCAGGGAGAAAATAAACAAATACAAGCAGACTGCCTGTAAAGAAATAAAGCCTGGACCTCCTCGGGGAGGTTGCGTTCTAGAAGACAAAGGCCTTCCAAGGCTTAAGAGGAAATATCTTGAATGTAGAATTCTATACCTGCTAACACAATTCTCAAAAGGATTTGGACTAACAAATGCAGTTTTCAGACAACTGAAAACTTAGAAATTCTACAAGCTTTTCTTGTGGAGTTTCCTGAGGAAGTACTCCAGCAAAACAAGGAGGAAAATCAAGAAGGAAGGATCCAAGAAATAAGCTCTTGGTGAAGGGGAATCCCCAGAGGAATGGGTGCAGCAGCTTGGGGTCCCCTGGTCAGGAGGTGAGGCTTTCAGGAGGGCCTGGGAGGCCTGTCTCCAGGCAGAGGAGACTCAGTGCATTGGTCAGTGTCCAGTCAGTAAAGCAGAAACTCCTACAGATGTTTCCATCAGGTGGGGTTGAAATGAGGGAACTTCTGTAAGAGGTATTGAAAGCAACTTAGAGTTTCCAGTCTGACATGTAAGGATCTTGGAAGTTACCACTCCTGTCTTCACCAAACCCCAGCTGAACCAACTGAAAATCAACAACTCCCCTTAGACCTACAGGAGAACTGGGGTCACAGCAAACCACTGCCCCAAATATTGGAGAGACAGACAGGTAAATATGGA